GCAAGGGCAAGGGCGCGCCGCTCACGTTTTGCTGAAGTACAACGCAACCTATTTGTAATAACCCCAACCCATGATTAACTGTTAAACCATGATTATGAGTACCTAATCAGTAATTAAGATGGAATTATGTATTAATTGCATATGTGTCGCATTATTCGTGTTTATATCTGTTTGTTGTAGACATATTTGTTTGTATTTCTATTTTGTTCTACGAATTGAAGGCCTTATCAGCACCTGATCACGAAATTGACCTGGTATATGTGTTATATGGAATTTGTAGAATTTTATGATAGGCTTAATTGAAATTCAATTCAGAATCAAATAATTAGATTAATTATGTATAACTTAATTAGTGGAGCCTATATAAGGCTAATGTTAAGCCTTAAATCACTTTACACACTCTCATTTCTCATCTTCTTGACTTCAAACGTGGAGAGGGAGAGAGAGACTAAGAGAGAATTGAGTTCAAACAAAGGATTGAGCTTGGAAATTCAAGGTAGTGGTGGTATTGAGCAAGACTTGCTAGGAATCAAGGGAATTAAGGTTTCTAGGTAAGAATTCAACCTTGTAAATTTGGATTTGAATCACTTAGCCCATGAATTCTAGAGAATTAAGTTGTGTAATGCTAGAATTGAGCTAAAATGAAAGAATATAGATCATACCATGCATGCATGTATATATCATGGCATCTTGAGGAAGTTTTTAAATAATTCTCTTATGCATGCTATCATTTTACCTTAGTTTTGAGAATCCATCTTGTTTTCAATCAATTTGTCTCATTTGATCATGTGTTGAAAGCTTTGAACTTGCATCTTTACATGCATGATGTGTAATGTTATGGTTTTCACCACTTCAAGTTTGGTTTAGTTCAATTGGCAAAGCTTTTGGGCTTGATTTTGCAAAATGCTTTTGAATTCACCATGTTTTATAAGTTTGTACAAGTTTCCTTCAATTTTTGGCCCAAAAGATCATGAATTTCAACTTTGAATTCAAGTTTTGAGCTTGGAAGTGCAATCTGGAAATCCCAGAATTCTACCTCTCTGCTCAAGCGACAAATCCTGTGCTTGAGCGACCACTTTTTTTTTTGTACCTCCGCTCGAGCGAAAAAAATTTGGCTCGAGCATTTATTGCATGCTCCCAGAAGTCAACACATTTTGCAGATCGCTCAAGCGACAAGAGTTACGCTCGAGCGAAGACCTTAGTCTCACGCTTGAGCGACAACCTCAGTCTCACGCTCGAGCGACCATCGAGCATGCGTCAAGCGAAAAAATCAAGCAACTAGTACTTTTCAGATTTCTACAGACCGCTCGAGTGAAGGAAGTTGCGCTTGAGAGGCCCCTTACATTTTTTACCCATCGCTCGAGCGAGGCCCTATTTTCAGCATAATTGATTAAGTGTTTCAAAGTGCATTTTGGCATCCTCATCACATCCTAGGCATTCCTAGGCCATTATTAAGACACAATAATGAGGATAAAATTTAGAAACACAGTAAGAACGAAAGACAATGACTGTAATAAATCTCGAGCGTGTGTTTCAATGTGTACATGCTATGTGTTGTTTGTAGGTCACGTGCCATAAGCTATCTAGTCTGTCTGCTTCATCTATTTTGAAATTGGAGTCATCTATGAGTAATAACTTAGTAAAGCTATGTTCAACTTTATTTATTTTCTGTATTTAGAATAAGATCTGTTTTATGAAATGTTATGCTTTATACAATGAATGATTGTCCAGTTTCTGACAAGTACTCGTGGTAATAATTCTGTGGTTCAAGTATATGATCTATTCCCGGTACTGGAGGTTCCTTTGTGGAACTAGCAAGTTTGTTATCTGTTCCCAGTATTTGAGGTTCCTTTGTAGAATTGGCAAGCATGTTATCTGTTCCCGGTATCAGAGGTTCCTTTATGGAACAGACAAGTATGACCCTTAATGCTCTGTATTTGATTTGTTAGCGCTAATAGATGTACCGCATATGAACAAGCATGAATTCTAATTTCTGTATATGATTCAAACAAGTATATGAATATGAATCCATTTCTATTTTCTGAATCTAATGGGACATCATTCATTTAACCCTTTACTCTATTATTATTCACTGGGCTTCTGCCTACTGTTTATATTACGTATGTAGGTGAGCAGGTGGGTGACCAGGCCTAAGCTGCTGCCTAGAGAGTTTTGGAGTCAGCCAGCCACCATGCCTCTCGGGGAGGTTTCCGTTTATAGAATTCAAGTTTTGTGGACCATGCTAAGAATTTGTTTTGTGCATCATGCTAAGAACGCTTACATTTTGTTCTGTTTTTGTTCATCCTCAGGCCTTGTACGATGTTGCAAGACTTATGTGGATATGACGTCATATATGTATATATTTTATACAAGTTTTAAATTATATGCCTCATGTATGTCAGCAAGACTCAATGGACTACGTATATTATATATTTACTTCTACAACCCCTAATTATATGTTATTCTGTTCAGAGGCCTTTGGTAATCCAAGGATTACTGGCCGGTTACAACGTTAAACCTATAAGGGTGAGTTTGGGTCATGACACTATTCCACTTTCTCGGCTGCTGATTATATCCATGTGCTGAGAGGTGAATGGCAACTTATTGCACTTATATTCCCCAGCTACAAAAGTTTAAGGGATATTAGTGTTGAGGGTTCCGACACTGGCGATCAAGTCGGCAAAGACGCGCAATCAAAGGGCCGTACAGAAGATCAGGAACTTAATAGAAAGATCGAATTAGCATTTGAGCATATCAGCCCTAACCACTATACCGTTCATCTCTCTACTTCTGGCAGAGTAACTTTATCCACTCTAGAGGACGACATCTTCACCTGTTTGGAAGATTTACCCGGGGCCAAATCCAAGGCCGAGGAGATGGGCGGAGAATTCCTTGCACAATTTGCCAGAAGAACAAATGCAAAAGAATGGCGGTAAGGAAACAAGTCGGTTGTACTGGGGCAAGCCAAGTAACTCCTCCCCGCGAGGTTCCTTAAGAAGAGACGGCTTGCGAGATGATTGTGGCCAACTTAGTACTTGAAGAGCAGCAGACTGAAGTCTTAGGTGCCGAGCAAGTAGGACAGAAACGCCCTGCCAAGACCATTGTTGCGTTATCGAATGTGCCGGTTGATAAACGACCAAGGATGGTGACGCCGTCCATGGATGATTCGACCGAGCCATTCGTCATCCAACCACGAATGAAGAGTATGCCAGTTCTTACCAGTGGGTCGGCCATCAAAGATCCCGCTGTGGCACTAAGTGTGGCTTCGGCGCTTTCTTTCCCAGTAGACAGGGTTGCGTTCTGTGTCGAACCAGACGTGGTCTTAATTGCTTTGGTGGCTCTGTCGGCTATATTGGTAAGTTTAAAGGATCGCCATCAAAGATCCCAATCTTAAGGTAGAGAAGAAAGCGAGGGAGCTCGCTGAGGCATATGCGGCCAAAGCGTTTGATGCAGGAGAGCTTAGGGCCAAGGCGTTGTATGCAGATAAAGCCATGAAGTTTGAGAATCGAGGCTTCAAGCATGGCTGGCTCAAAGCTTTGGCGGCCGCCAAAGTGACTCTTCATCAGCCAATTCCCTATGAGCAATTGGAAGTTGAGCTGTTGGAATCGGATCCAAAGGAGTTAGACTTTTGATTGGTCGATTCCTTAATAGCCATACTTACCTTTGTTTTTGCTTGTTACTTTTGTTTTCGTTGATTCCGTTATACTGTTTAGTGTTTGTATTACAACCATTTCCATGTATAAAGTGACGAATGTACTTGTGCAGTTTATTAATGAAAAATGCATGTTCTGTCAATTATGCCTTGTTGGTTAGTGTAAACAAAAATGTGCCACATAACTAAGCCGAAATAAAACTGAATGAATGGGCCACATAACTAAGCAAAAAGAAATGAGTTGGGTTTATGGTTCTATGGCAGTGTCTTAATTCGGCCAAATATTGATAAGCCGAATAGATTAATAAATCTACCCTTGCCCCAGTTGACCACTTAGTGTCACCGTCAAATTCAACAGAAAACAAAACAAGTCCATGTGGTCAGGTGGGGCAGTGTATCGATTCTACAAAATAATGATAAGCCGAATAGATTAATAAATCTATCATTGCCCCAGTTGACCACTTAGCGTCATTGTAACGACCCCGTCACGTATAATAATTAGCACTTAATTAATTAAGAAGATTTGAAATTTAATTGCCAAGTATTATAATTAAATGTAGGATTCACGAAAATTATGTAGATTGATTCACATATGATTCTATTAAAGATTTATTTTGAAATTAGAAATTAAGGGTCCAAATGGCTTAAGGAAGTGAAGTTAAGAAGTTGAATCAATTTAATCTTAACTACGGACCCATTTGGGAGTTTAATTAAATATTCGATTCAGTTTAGTAAAATTGAGATTCATTGGGTCCGAACTGGAGTTAATTAAGTTAAGAGGATTGAGAATTAAGATTATTATGAATTAAATTCATTTATGTGGTGCTTAATTTGAATATGTAATTTATTAACGAAATTATGAGTCTGATCAGAAATTGAAGGCTTAAATGATTTAAGAAACCAAAATTGAGGATAGGAATAAGTTCAATTTGATATTTGGAGCTTGTTGGGAGTTTAATTAAAACCAGATTCAGATTGATAAATTTAAATATAATTAATTGGGCTCTCTAATGGAAGTCAAATTAGATTAATTAAATTATGTGAGATTGTGATTAGTTATGATTAATTTAATTATGTGTAAATTAAGATTTATTGAGAATATGTGTTATTTAATTAAATTAATCTTAGCCATAAATTAAATTATAGAATGATTTAAAGTTTTGAGAGTGTACGTGGGTGTGTGTACAAAGGAGTGTGTGTGTGTGTGTGTAGAGTAAGTGGTGTGTGTGCATGTGTGCCGTGTGCTCATCTGCTGGAGTATACCAATGCTTGAGATTCATTTCAATCCGTTGACATTCTAAGGAATAGAAAATTATAGAGAGAGAGGGAGAGGGCTTAGTTCAAGAAAAAGATGAACTAAAGAAAGATAAACTCAAGAAAAATTTAAAGAGAGGAAGAAGATCCAAGAGAAAATCAACCATAAATTTTGAAATCAAAGTTTAAGGTAAGGAATTTATATTCAAATCATGTAGAATCTATATATAATACTTGAAATTAAGGAGACTTTGGGATCAATTTCTTGTAAATTGTAAGAAATTGGGTTTTGAGTAAGAATTTAAAGCTAGGCTCATGGTTATGGAAATGAATATAGAAATTGATTATTTTTGGTTTGATGTTGATTATCCTACATGAATTTGGGTCTCATTTCTACATGCATGTAATTTTAGAGGAATTAAAGAATAAATATGGGTTTTAACTTTGATTATTGACCCATGCATGTAATGTAATTTAAGAGTTTGATTCAAATTAAACATATTTTAGAACATCTATGATTTAAGGAAGTAAATTTGGAAAATTAATTAGTTTGAGTTTGATCTTCATTATTCTTCATAAGTTTGAGGCTCATCCTTACATGCATGTTAGAATTTCAAAATTTTAGATTTAATTCATGTGTTATTTTATCTTTTTTCTCAAAAGCAGAAATCAATTGTTATCATCTCGTATGTCTTACTTAAATTTATCTTAAAAAAAAAAAAAAAAGAGACTTATGAGTTTAAATTTGGGTTAGATATGAAGAAAATTAATAAAAATCTAAATTGGAGTAATTCAAGAGTTAAATTATGATTTGCTTGGGAAAAATATAAAATCAGTAGTTTTGATCCTAATTTCATATATGCAATTATTTCTTTAAAAGAGTTTATAATTTCAATTTCATGATTTAAGAGGAATTAGTAAAATGAATAAGAAATTGAATTGGATTCAAAATTATGGAAGGAAATTGATTTGATTTTAATCTCTAATCCATGCATGTAATCTAATTTAAGAGTTTTATTTAATTTAAACTTGTTATTGAATATATTAAATTAGTTAGTTTTATTGAAATTACATATATGCGATGTTGGCTAGGAGAATTGACATGAAAATGAAGAATTAGAGCCAAGATCAAGTTTATGAAATTAAATAAGAAATTAATTACTTTGGGTTTGATTTTGGAATATCATGCATGAATTGAGTCTAATTTCTACATGCATGGATAAATTCTACAAGTTTTAATATTCTAATTGTACATGCATCATGGATTTCTAATAATTGATCTCATGTTTTGATGGGATAAGAATTAAGCTTTGGAAATTTATGGGTTTATGAACAATGAGTTTAATTTATAAATTAAATGAGTTTTGATGTAAATGATTCAAAATTGATCATATTTTCTTGATTATTAAAGAGTTTGCATGTTTTAGACAAGCCATGTATGAATCCAAGTTTTGAAGTTATTTTGAAAGCTCAATTCAAGATTTAGAATTTGTAAGTTTAGAATTGGGCTTGGTATGTAGAATATGAATTGAATTAAATTTGATAAGTTTGATATGATTCGAGTTTATGAAATGGATTTATGTAAATTTGAGATTCAAATCCTGTAAAATTGGCCCATATACTCATGTTAAAGGTTATGTGGTGGAAATATGAGTCTTATGACATTAATTACATTGGTTAGAACCAAGTTTTGAAGCTCAAGCATAATCTGGAAAAACCCAGAATTTGACCTGTCCGCTCGAGCGTGGAGAGTCCCGCTCGAGCGTACCCTATTTTACTTGACTCCTCGCTCGAGCGTCAAAAGTCTCGCTCGAGCGTAATTTGCAAGCAACCAGTACTTTTGCAGACCAAAGGGGTCCGCTCGAGTGGAGGGCCCTGTTTCAGAAATTTTGGAAAAATGTTTTATGCTTCGTTTTCTGTTTTCTTTCATTTCAAAGCACTCTTAGGCATGCATTAAAGATTGTAAATGAATTAAAGAACATGAAAGGAGCCTAAGAATGTTAAACAAGTTAAAGAACGGAATGAATTGTAATATGACCCAAAGTGTTATGAATTATGTAGGGTCAAGCGCAGGGACGAATCAAGTACCAAAACACTGTGAGTAATAACTTTGTAGAGTTATGTTCAATGTTAAATATTTTCTGAACATTACGACATGAAATGATTAGTCTTCTGAAACGCTACGCTATGTTTTGAATGAATAAATGATTGTCAAAGATTCTGAAAGTTATTTATGGCATCCTTAGCATCATATGATATGCGTCCCTAATGGATCATCAAGTCTCTTTATGGGTTATCGGATTTGTTAACGCTAATGGTTGTACCACGCACGATTATATGCAAAATCTGAATATGAAAATGATCATAAATATGTATATAAATCTGTTTCTGATTTGGAATCTGAATATGCATAAGACACTGTTTCTGATAAGAATCTGATTTCTAACTTTGTGATGGACATCCTTCATTAACCCTTTACTCTGTTATTATTCACTGGGCACCAGTTCACTGTTTATATATATGTATGTAGGTGATCAGGGCGTGACCAAGCTTAGAGGCGCCTGGAATCAGTTTTTGACAGCCAACCCATGTGCCTCTCGTGAAGGTTCCAAATATATCTAGTGGTTATGGCTAAGTGCTTTAGGTTCAAGTTTTGTTTTCCTGTTCAGTTAGACAAGTCTTTGTGTATTTTGTAAATAAGGCTAAGTCTCTTTTTGTCTAGTTAGAATATGTATATATATGATGATGTGTATATGTACATAAATAAAGTTAAAAATTTTATGTCTCATATAAGTCTGCACAACTCAATGGATATTGTATATTTGTTATTTGCTTTCGCTAGCCCCTAATATAATGTTAATTTGTCTCAGAGGCCTTTGGTAATCTCAGGATTACTGGCCGGTTACGATGCTAAACTATAGGGGCGGGTTTGGATCGTGACAATCATCGCCGAATTTGACAGAAAACAAAGCAAGTCCATGTAGTCTGGTGGGGCAGTGTCTTAATTCGGCCAAATATTGATAAGCCGAATAGATTAATAAATTTGTCCTTGCCCCAGCTGACTACTTAGCATCATCGCCGAATTTTACAGAAAACAAAGCAAGTCCATGTGCTCAAGTGGGGCAGTGTATCGATTTGACAAAATAATGATAAGCCAAATAGATTAATAAATCTACCCTTGCCCTAGTTAACCACTTAGTGTCATCACCGAATAGATAAGGAGGTGGCAGCAAATGCGGGCACATCGTAATCGTTGCATCCGCAATTAATAAATGAGATAACCTAGCATTTATGGGGCATGTGGCCTCTTTAAATAGACATTTCTCAGAGTGTAAAAGTTTAGAGAGCATTATGTCGACCTGAGCAAGCTCGTATGTCTAGCAAATTGTTTTTCAACAGTAGAGGCGAAGGAAAAACATTAACAGAACTAGGCATGGAAATGAACCGCAAAGCTGGTGGTGAACCCACCTGAACGGGAAATATGGCGTCAGAGGAGCGAGAGAGACATTGACTCCCCCAACTTCGAAGCAAGTCCCCAAGAGGGGACAAGGTAGAGACATCGCCAAGGAAGGGGGCGCAATAACGAGGGAGCTCACGGGCTGGGAGCGCACAGGCCCCAGCGCAAAACAAACTGAGCAGGTTATCACACCCTCCGAGTTTCTTGGTGTTTATTGGGAACAAACCAATGATCGAAGCGGATTCAGTTATCCGTGATCTGATCGTGGCCGTGGATTTTACTCGACAAATATTTCCACCCGAAGTGCAACAATCTATGATCGAGCGAAGTGATTACGAAGTCTTCAGAAAAGGTATCCATGGGGCGGCCAGAGGACTTTACAACTCATATGAGATTGGTATGCGCCTTCGCGATGCACAGAGAGAAATCGATCAGAAAGATGGGCGTATTCAAAACTTGGAGCCCTGTATGGATAAGGCCAAAAGTGAAACGCGAAGAGCCAGGGCTGCCGAGACGCAATCGGCGGGCGCGAAAAAACTGATTGATCATGCTATAACCAATCAGCACACGGCGAGTGTTTTTGCAAAAACGCGATACGATTGCGAGCTTATGAGGAAGGATTTTTCGACAGACGAAAAGTCAACATTGAAAAGACCAGGAAAAAGTTGGGAGAACCATGGTTTTAAGCACTAATGGATTAAGGCTTTCAAAGCCGTTGGTGTCGACTCGACATCTCCGTTGTACCAGGATTACAAGGTTCCCTTCGAAGCCTATGATGTTGAGAAGATAGATGATGAAAAATAAGCTGCTAACCCACAGAAGACCCAAATAACAAGGAACCCTGTATTTGTAATTTCTTATTTTAGTGGAATTGTTGTACTAAATTTTATTGCTTGAAATAAAATTTGTTGTGGCTGTTTAATTGATATCTTTCCTAGAAATGTATGTCTATTGACCCATGGATTTCCATTGCGTTGTATTGCAATATCGTTATGAATCTGCTGATTTTGGTAATTTGTTGTCAACATACAAAAGATGATCTGAATTCCGCTAGAGCAATTCAGAGTCTTTGTAATGGCCAAATGTGATCAAGCACGAAGGGCTCTTCAAATTCAGAGGCATTTTTCGACCAATCATGCCAACCATGAAAGGCGCTTCGAATTCGGAGTATTTGTAATGGCCAAACGTGATCAAGCACGCAGGGTGCTCCGAATATGGAGGCCTTTTCGGCCAATCATGCTGACCACAAAGGGTGCTCAGAATTCGGAGTCTTTGTAATGGCCAAACGTGATCAAGCATGCAGGGCGCTCCAAATTTGGAGGCTTTTTCGGCCAATCGTGCCAACCACGAAGGACGCTTTGAATTCGAAGTCTTTGTAATGGCCAAACATGATCAAGCAAAAAATTCAGAGGCTTTTTTTTATCTTTGGTCAATCGACCATTCGAAACGAGAAATGAGACGAAAAAGGCATATTGTATTACTGATTAACTGCGTAAATGCATACACGGTTACATAGCAGTAAAAACAAAAACGAACAAGTATAATCTCCAAGTTTTTTTATTCATAGAATTTGTTCAAATGGGTCGAATTCCAGGGTCGAGGTAACCTTTTGCCAGTCATGTCTGAAAGCAGATAAGCCCTTGCACCGGCAATCGAATCAATCTGATAAGGGTCGTTCCAGTTGGAGCCCAGTCTTTCATCCGCTGGGTTTTTGGTAGCAAGAAGCACTTTCTTGAGGTCCAATTCTCCAAGGGCGTAACGACACGGCTGTACAAGCTGGTTATATACTTTGGCTAGCTGTTGTTGGTATCACGCCATATGTGCAAGAGCTTGATCTCAGCGTTCCTCAAGAAAATTTAGGTCTAAGGCCAACATCATGTCGTTACGCCCTTGGTCAAAAGCCTTTGATTTCATAGTAGGCAGGCCGATTTCGAGAGGGATGATAGCTTCTATCCCAAAGCACAAGGCGAATGGCGTTTCTCTGGTGGGCCACCTCGAAATGGTGCGGTGAGCCCACAATGCGCTGGGCAGCTCTTCAACCCAGTTGCCCTTGGCTTTCTCCAGTCATTTCTTGATTCCGTCCAGGATCACTTTATTTGAGGCCTCAGCCTGACCGTTGCTTTCTAGGTAAGCTGGTGAGGAAAAGTATGGCTAGATACTATATCTATCGCATTACTCTCGATAGATGCCACAATCGAATTGGGTGTCATTGTTTGATATAAGTGCTCTGGGTATGCCTAATTGGGTTATAATGTTTTTCCATACAATGCGTTTAACATCAACGTATTGGATATATGCCAATGATTCTGCCTCAACCCATTTTGTGAAATAATATGTTGCAACAATCAAGAATTGTTTGTTTCTCAGAGCTCATGGCACTAGTCCGACGATGTCAAGGTCCCATTGAGCAAAAGGCCAAGGACTAGTAACGAAGTTTAATTCTTCAACGGGCAAGTGAGTTAAAGGGAAGAACTTCTGGCATTATTCGCACTTCTTTACATAGTTCTCAGTATCAATGTGCATGGTCAGCAAATAATAGCCCTGAGTTACGGCTTGGTGTGCCAATGAACGCCCTCTCGAATGTCCATCGCAGCTGCCTTCTTGTAGTTCAGCCAAGAAATCTTCCACTCTGTCTGGATGAACACATTCCAAATATGGCCCTAAGAGAGATTTTTTGTAAAGCTTTCCATGGGGATCCAAATAATATCGTAGGGCTTTATTTCGCAGTTTATGAGCTTCTTTCTTATTCGTTGGCAACAATTCAAAGGAAAGAAATATGGCGATAGGGTCCATCTAAGTCAGTCCAGACTTAATGGTGTTGACACAAACAGACTTGGGGGAACTGATACTCGGCTTTGGGATGAATCCCACTTTGCTGGTTTGTTTGATTTCCGAGTTAATAGCAGAAGCCAAACAAGCAAGGGCATCCGCATGAGTGTTCTGATCTCGGGTTATCTAATTTAGCTTGTGGTGGTCAAACTTCAAGAGCAAGGAGTTTGCCATTTTCATATAGGCTGCCATTTCGGTCATTTTTAGCCACATATTCCCCTTTCAACTCGTTGATGACCAATTTTGAGTCACAGAAGACCTGTGATCATTTGGCGCCCAAGTGAAGTGCATTACAGAGGCTGGTTAGCAATGCTTCATATTCGGCCTCATTATTTGACGCATCAAAACCTAGTTTGACTGCTTGCTTGATTATTGCCCTTTCGAGGGTCATGATTACTACTCCTACCCCACTTCCACGTTGGTTAGATGATCCATCATAATACATCTGCCAAATGTCTCTAACATACATTCTCTAGTCTAGTTGAGGTCAAAAGACGAGTTGGTTGGATTTAAAGTAGGCATGGCATCCTGTAAATTCGACTACAAAGTTGGCCAACGCCTACCCTATGATGGCCATTCTGGGCAAGAATTGGAGGTCATACTGGCCGAGTTCTAATGCCCATTTTGAGACTCGCCTTGATGCTTCCGTGATATGGAGTACTACTCAGAGAGGGTAATCCATTAGTACCCCTATGGTATGAGCCTGAAAATAGTGCATCAGCTTCCTGATAGCCTCCACAAAAGCTAGGATGAGCTTTTCCAATAGTAGGTATCATGTTTCGGCGTCGATCATCGTTTTGCTTACATAGTAAATGGGTCGTTGCTCACCGAGTTGTTCCTTTAGTAACACGGCGCTGACTGCCTGATCAGATACTACAAGATACAAGATGAGCGGATCACTGGGCGATGGGGTTGCCAAGAGTGGTATGGAGCGGAGATATGTTTTTAATCCATCTAGCGCGGCCTGGCACTCGGGGTCCACTAGAATGCTTTGCCTTGTCGAAGTGTGTGAAAAAATGACCTACAACAATCGGAGGAACGACTGATAAACCTGTTGAGACCCGCGGCCATTCCCATCAACTATTGAACTTCTTTGGCCGACTGAGGGGAGGAACCGCATTCCATAATGGCCTTAATTTGCATCAGGATGGCCTCTATTCCATGATGATCTACGATATAGCTAAGGAACTTGCCAGATCTGATGCCGAATGCACATTTCAAGGCGTTGAGTTTCATCTTGTACTTTCGGAGGATATTGAAAGTTGTGGCTAAGTTGGCTAAATAAGCATGCTTTTCCTTTGATTTTGCCACCATGTCATCAATGTATACTTCCATGGTGTGGCCGAGTTGTTCTTTAAACATAGTGGTGACCAGCCTCTGGTATGTTGCCCTCGCATTCTTCAATCTGAAGGGCATGACTTTGTAGCAATAGGTATCCCGTGGAGTGAGGAATGCAGTCTTTACCTGGTTCTCTAGATGCATGGAAATTTGGTGGTAACCCTTGTA